AGGAATACCCAGTGGTCCCCAAGGCTTAACCTATTCTGGCCCCCAACTTTCAGGTCTTATTGTTGTTTAAACACTCAGTTGCTCTACTGCCCCTGGACTCTTCCAACTGCCAGAACACTCTTCCTCATAAGAATGCACTCTTCCTTTCTCTCTTGCTTAAGTCTTATTCACTGTCTTATGTTCTTAAAGACCATATTCCTTTCCCTTGGAGAACACATGTCAATTTACTATATGTCCACTGATGTCATTGTCTTTCTCTCCATTGGCATTAAAGATCCGTGAGAAGGGGTGGACTCTACTTGTGTATATTATTGCCTATCAGCTGATGTATGACATACAATACAGGATCAATATGAGTACTGAATAAATAAATGAATGAATGAATTCTGTTTTGCCAAGGCTTAGATCTATTTTACACTAGACCTTAACTCTTTATAAAAAAAACTTGTTTCTGTGGCAGCATTTTTTTTTTTGACTGACCTCAGAGGCATTTGGAACCAATTATAGGGGGTCAATGAGTGACTCAGCAACTCTGAGAGACTAGACATGTATCCATCTTCCCAAGGTCCTGGTCACTTAAAGCACTGCTAGAAGTTTCACTGCACAGCTCTAATCCAATTGATCTATGTACTGTCTTTTGGACTTTGAACAACACTGTGGTCTTATCCAAAGGGAAAAAAGGGTATTGATATTGATCAAGGGCCTACTTTCTTTCTGGAAAATAATTTCGTGCTTTTCATATATTCAGTTGAAATAACCACTAGTGATAGAATAATAATTAAAAATAGAATAATAATTATAAGGCATTTTAGAAATATAAAGACCTCTGTAATATTTACGACATTAGAACATTTCTTAGAGGATTGAGTTCTTGAAATATTTGATTGCCCTTGCACTGCTTAGTGAGATAATTTGCTCCTCTATAGAGAATCTTTGTGAAAGTATAAAAGATTTTTGGCAATGTCATTCCCTGGAGAAAATCTGATAAAGTTGTTACAAATTGTCCCTCCAAAGATCAAGTGTCCTCATTATTGCTAAGCCATTTTCTGCAGTTACAAGATTGTGTAAGAAAACAAAAGTTGTATTAATTAATGTACTGAACAATTAACAATTAGTTTCCAGTAAAGTTCTCTCCCCACCTACCTTGAGCATCTATCTCTGTCCATTGCCTTAATTATTTGGTGGTCATTGCCTGTTGACACTTTAAGAGATTGTGACTTTTATTTAAGTAAAATACTAATCAATTGAAATAGCAAACTTTGAGGAAGATGAAGGTTTCCAAAACAAGAAGAAAGTGATGTTGGAGAACTCTTTAATCACATGTCAAACTACCAGCCAATGAGTCTAGCAGAGTGAAAACAGTTAATGTTGGAAGAAGAGAAAATCCCTGAGAACTATAATGTGCTAGGTGCCTCAAAGAGACAGATCTGAGAATCAAAGAATTAAAGAGTGCTGGCGAAATTGATGAGGCTGTTTATGAAGCTTTTTATGAGACTCTTTGCAATCTTGTGACACATAGGGCCATGTTTGCATACAATTTTGAAGGGAAAATTATGATCTATTAATCAACATCTAATTCATTATTTGTTTATTACATAGTTCATATTTACTTAAAAAATATTAACAAAATAAACTACTTTCCCTTATATTACTTTGAAAGAGAAATTCCCAAACATAGTAACTTTGTTCACCATTTAGTATGACACCTAGATCTCCTTGTAGTAAATTTATTTTACATGCCTTTTTCCAGGTTTCGTGTACCCTCACATAATGAAGACTACATTCAAGTCACTAGGTTTTATTCTGCCTTTCAGATAAGTTAAGTAAGCTGTTCCCCTGATTTTCTGCCCACTCTCAAGCATCCTTACCAGTCCTAAATAATTAGGTTTTTAAGGTTAAATCTTGGATCATATCTTCACTTTTCCCACTTCATTTTTTATATATGTTCTTATTCATTCTATAGAAAATATCTTGATGCAATAGAAATACTGAGGAAAATGTTATTAATATTTTGCACGTTTCTTCTGCCTGACGAATGACTATGATCTATAAGAGCTGGGTGTTATTATGGTAGTGTATCATTCTTGCATTGCTATGAAGAAATACCTGAGACTGGGTGATTTATAAAGAAAGCAGGTTTAATTGGCTCATAGTTCTGCAGGGTGTACAGGAAGCATAGAACTGGCATGTGCTTCTAGGGAGGTTTCTGGAAGTTTACAGTCATAGCAGAAAGCAAAGTGGGAGTTTGCATATCCCATGGTGACAGCAGAATCCAGAGGGGAAGGTACCATAGGCTTTCACACAACCAGATTTTGCGAGAACTCACCATGACGAGGACAGCACCAAGGGGATGGTGCTAAACCATTCATGAGAAACCGACCCCATGATCCAATCACTTTTCACCAGGGCCCACCTCCAACACTGAGAATTAAATTTCAACAAGAGGTTTGAGCGGGGACATACATCTAAACTATATCGGTTATGATAACAACTTCTCTAGTTTCGATGTTCTCTGAATACTGAATCTCTTTCTTGGATACTTTTATAGTGATCATGTGACAAAACTGCAACTAATTATATATATTACCTGATTCTCATGAAGTCACTACATTTTTTTCACCTTTGCAACAACAGAAAGACTAACAGTGTAACAGAATGCCGGTCAGATCACTAATCTGATAATTAACACAAGTGAAGTGAATGTAGCTTTTTAATCACTATTTTGAAGCACTGTTGATTCATTTATTTTAAACATTGAAGTAAAAATTGAAAATATTCAGGATATATTAAAACCATGAGTCAGCATGAATACAATATATGGGCCAAGATATTGCCTAGAGAATAATGACTTCAATGGGTTCTTAATTTATTTTTATCTGAGTTTTATTTTTGGTTTGAAATACCCAGATAAATTTTTTAATTTATTTGTCTATGTAAATTAAGTAGAAGAATTATGTATTCAAAATGAAAAGAAATGGGTAAGTCTATTCATATATGCAGTCTATCAAAAATAATTTACTGTATTCTTTTTATGTTCTTAGTTCAAAAGTATAGATTTGTAGGACAAAAAGAAATAAGGTACGTTATGTAACATATTAACACTGAAGTATAAAGAAGGGAAATAATTCTCTTTGTATCTTTGGAAGCAATATTAAATATTTTAAAGTTCCTATCATATTATTTAACTCATTGTAATATCTATGAAAAATATACTAAATTATAAAATGTACAAACTGAAAAAGACATTCTCATACATTGAGAACTTTAGTGTACGCTGATATCTTATATATGCATGTGTATTTAAAATGTGTATGTAATATGCTTAATTAATAATTGAGAAAAATATCCAACAAAACTTTAGCATTCTATATTACCATATATTTATTTTAAACAGTTGATTTTACTTTAATGCACTAATAGTTATAAACTACTTATAATTTTTTATATGCAGTTTTTCATTAAAGTCAAATTAAATATGAATAGACCATAATTTTTATGAGCTTCAACTTGCCACAGGAAAATTATTTTTTTCTGTTACTTTAAAGAAAATGATTGATTAATAGAGTGATTAATTTAATGATGGATATCTTATTTTACTAAACTTTACTATGTTCTGGAGATACTGTGTTTGTTATAAATTGAAGGTTTGTGGAAATTGTGCATTCAGTAATTCTATGAGCATCATTTTTTCAAACAGCATGTGTTCCCTTAATGTGTCTGTGTCATATTTTGAAAATTCGTGCAATATTTCAAAATTTGTCACTATTAGCATTACAGCTATTATGGTGATCTGTGATTAGTTATCTTTGATATTACTATTAAAATTATTTTGGAGCACCACACACCATGGCAGTACAAGAAGGCAAACTTAATCAACAAATGTGTGTTCTGACTGCTCCACCGACTGAAAGTTACCCCTTCTCTCTTCCTCTCCTTGGGTCTCTGTATTCCCCAAGACAAAATAATATTGATATTAGGCCAATTAATGACTCTAAAATGGTCTCTAAGTCTTCAAATGAAAGGAAAAGTCACACATATCTCACCTTACATCTAAAACTGGATATGATGAAGTAGAGAAGGGATATTGAAAGCCGAGACAGGCCAAAAGCTACGCCTCTTGAATCAAGCAGTTAGCAACATTCTGAATGCAAAGGGAAAAGTGCTTGAAGGAAATTAAAAGTGTTAATCCAGGGAATACACGAATGATAAGAAAAATAAACAGCCTAATTGCTGTTACGAAGAAAGTCTAAGTGTTCAGGTCACACAATCAAACCAACCATAACATTCCCTTAAGGCAAAACCTAATCCAGAGCAAGGCCCTCACTCTTTTCAATTCTGTGAAAGTTGGGAGAGGTGAGGAAGCTGCAGAAGAAAAGTTTGAAGCTAGCAGAGGTTGGTTCCTGAGGTTTAAGGAAAGAAACTGTCTCCCTACATTAAAGTGTAAAGTAAAGCAGCAAGTGCTGATGGAGAAGCTACAGAAAGTTATCCAGAAGATCTAGCTAAGATCTCTAGTGAAGGTGGCTTCACTTAACAAAATATTTTCAATGTAAATGAAAAATTCTTACATTAGAACAAAATACCATCTAGGACTTCCATAGCTAGAGAGGAGAAGTCAATGTCTGGCTTCAAAACTTCAGAAGACAAGCTGAAGTGGAAGCCAATGCTCATTTACTATTCCAAAAATCACAGGGCCCTTAAGAATGATGATAAATCTACTCTACCATGCTCTATAAATGGAACAAAGCCTGGATGACGGCATGTTTGTTCACAGCACGGTTTGCTCTATATTTTAAGCCTACTGAGTCCTATTGCTTAGAAAAGTATTTCTGGCAAAATGTTACTGCTCATTGACAAAACACCTGGTCATCCAAGAGCTCTGATGAAGTTGTACAAGAAAACTAATGTTGTTCTTATGCCTGCTTGCATAGTATCCATTCTGCAGCCCATGGATCAAGGAGAAATTTTTATTTTCAAGTCTTATGATTTAAAAAGTACATTTTGTGCTGGCTTTGACAGCACATTTACTTAAAGCAGAATGATACCAAGAAGATTAGCATGGCCCCAGCACAAGGACGACATGAAAATTCTTGAAGCATTCCATATTTTAAAAAATTAAAGAAAACGTTTTATAAGGGTACAGTTGCTATACATAGTGATTCCTCTGGTGGACAGGGGCAAAGTAAATTAAAAATCTAGGAAGAATTCACCATTCTAGATGCTATTATGAACATTTCATGATTCATGAGGAGGTTGAACGATCAACATTAATGAGAGTCTGGAAGAAGTTGATTTTGACTTTCATGGATGATATTGAGGGGTTCAAGACTCCAGTGGTGAAAGTAATTGCAAATGTAATAAAAATAATAAGAAAACTAGAATTATAAATGGAGTCTGAAGATGTGACTAAATTGCTGCAATCTCATGATAAAACTTGAACAAATGAGGAATTGCTTCTTATGGATGAGCAAATAAATTGTGGTTTTTTTTTTGAGATGGAAGCTACTCCTGATGAAGATGCTAAGAACATTGTTGAAATGATCACAAAGAGTTTAAAATACTTAGTTGATAAAGTATTCTAAGTGCATAAACTTAACTGATAAACCAGTAACAGAGCTTTTGAGGTTTGATTCTAATTTTGAAAGTTCTACCATGGGTAAAATGCTATCAAACAGCAAAGTATGCTGCAGAGGAGTCTTTCATGAAAAGCAGAGTCAATCTATGGAGAAAGCATTTTTGTTTTCTTATTTTAAGAAATTTGCACATCCACCCCAATCTTCAGCAACAACCACCCTGATTAGTTAGCAGCCATCAACATCAAGGCAAGACCTGCTACCAGCAAAAAGATCAGAACTTGCTCAAGGTTCAGATGATCATTACCATTAAGATACGTACATTGTAACTGGACATATAATGCTATTGCACACTTCATATACTACACTATAGTGTACACGTAACTTTTGTATACCCTGGAAAACAAAAAAAAAATTGCGCCTCATTTCATTATGATATTTACTTTATTGTATTGGTCGGAACCAAGCCTACAATATCACTGGGGTATATCTGCTTTTCATCTTGTTTCTCTAGGAATTTGTAATAGCTAAAAGAAAAAATATATATACAATAAAGTGGAAAAACATAAGTTAGATTTCAGTGCTGAAAATAATAGAAATTATAATAAGAGGTCAATATCATGGTTAAGAACAACACAGATATTCAGGTCATAAACTTCTGTTGTTATAATTGAGCTTTGAATTTGTTTCCAGGAACTCTGGCAGCTGAAGTGAAATAAAGACATGGGGAATTATATAGACATTATCGTTTCTTCAGGAAAAGGAAAGAAGATATTTAGATGTGGATGATAGACATGTTTTGCCATACTAGAAAATTTTAAGTGCTTCTAATTTTGTTTTGGAGATTTATTATTATTTTTTTAAAAAAATAAACCCAATGCAGTGTTAAGTACAATTAGCTGTATATCATTTTATTCTTGGCTTTATCTCTAAATAGTTGCGTGATTTTAGTAATTCATTTTTTTTCTTGACTTTGGTTTCTTCATCTGCAAAGGAAGAGGTCTGGGTAAGATGATCTGCATTCAAGTCCTTTTTAATTCTAATATCCCATATCCAATGGGTTCCTATTTTCCCAGCACAGAGAATAGCACTTGCTATTTTAAAAGGCACGTTTGCCTTTTTATAAGTGTGCCTATATTGCATAGGTGAGTCTCTTTTTAGGAAGAAATAACTTTAAGTTAGGTGGTCACCTGTCAATTATGCCAAATGCTCCCAAGAATTAAATAAGAGGACTGATCAGCTTGGTTAGTTTGAGAGAGATCACTCAAGAAATGAAAAGCTAATTTCAGAGTGGAAGGAGTATGAGCTTCCTGGTGTCCTGGATATCTACTTCCTAGCATGTCTCCTTACATCCTTTGATTTATGGTCCCAGCTGTACCCCCTGTGCACTTGGACCTACACACTGTTAATGTAAGGAAGGCAGGAACTGGGTCTTTCTTACTCTATTGAGAGTCTTGAAGGTGTCAGAAGAGAATGTCTGCTCAATAAATGTTGCCTGACAATTGACTCTTGAATCTTCTTCTTACTCTTATTGACATGCTACCACAATCAGTGTTTGGTCAACCCCTGTGCAGCACAGATGCATCTAATGTGAGGTTTAGGATCTAATGTCATTGTTTATCTTGAAAATTCTGGAGTCAAAATAACCTTTTAAAATCTCTTAAGAGGCTTATAAATTATGGTGTGTTGGATTTTGTAAAAAAAAACTTATAAAGTTATGTGTGTATATATTGTATATAGGAAAGTATAATGTATAATAAATGTATGTTACATATGTTTATCATATATTTAATCATATGAGGATGACAGAGAAATGAAAGAATTAAAAAAAAGGAAAATGATCATGTAGCATTGCACTTGCAAGAGTTAAAAATGTATATGATACAACATCATTCCATCCCTAAATAGCAGAAGCTTGCGGACTGTGAAATGGGCAATGTGTGAATTGACAACAGGATAAGTGTGATTCCCAGTTCACATGCCTTATCCCGAGGAGGAGAAGCCTACAGGCCATAGTATTAATTGTTATTATTTAGAGTTGGTCCACAGGACAAACTTCCTGACCACTTGCACAACTGATCAGGGTGAAACTCATTTCTTCCCTTTTCCAACCTCATCTTCATATCAGTACATCCAGGAATATGCTGTTAGGTAGTGATGAGGGTCTTTGGAATTCTAGAGCAAAAATACAGTTCTGTAAGATCCTTTGGAAATCTTCACAAGCCAGTGAAAAGCCCATCTGATCACCTACCATTTCGACCCTGAGGGCAGCAGGGTCAGGCAGGATAGTCTAGGTTATACCGAAATATAACACAATTCCAAAATCCCAGGGGATTAAGACCACAAAGGTTTGTTTCTATTTCTTACTCATGCTACATGTCTATCATGGATTGGCTTGGGACTCTGCTCCAAGTCAACCTCATTCTGAAAACCAAGCTGCTGGAACAGCCACGATCTGAAATCTGTTAGTCACCATGGCAGAAATTAAGAGAAATGAAGCAAGTCACACATGAGATCTTTAACACTTACATCGGAAGAGACACATATCCCTTCTGTGTGCTTTGCATTGGCCAAATCATACCATGTCACTGTTTCTTATATCAAGAAGAGCAAGTACGATCCTTCCCTATACTTAGGAGCAAAATTGGAAAACTTGCTGAATAGCACTGCTGAGTACTGCAATAAACATATGCCAAAGAGTGAATTTTGTAGGGTTTCCAGGTCTGTTCTGATCTGGTTTCGTGTTCTTGAATAATCTTCAGCAGTTATCTCTGCTCAATCACACTGAATTACTCACATTTCTCAGAGGAGGAACAAATAGCCTTGTCTCTTTTCTTTTTTATTTAATAAAGAAAGAAAGAAGGAAACAAGGAGAAAGAAATAAGAAAGAAATTAGTCCTAGTAGAATTTCATGTGTCATTTGATGGCCAGCATGATCAGTTTTTAGTTCAATTAATGCCTGTGGTAGACTGAATAATGAACTTCCTCAAAAATGTCCATATCTTAATTCCTGAAACTTGTAGTATATGTGCCATTATATGACAAAGAAAAATCAAGGTTCAAGATGGAATAAATTTACTAGCCAGCCGATTGTAATAGAGAAAGGTTATGCTGGATTATTTAGGTGACCTGATGTAATCACAAGGTTTATTGAAAGTAAAGGAGGGATGCAGAAGAGGGGGTCAGAAGTCAGATGATGTGATGTGAGAAAAGGACTCAACCCTCCATCACTAGCTTTGTAGCTGGAGAAAGGTGTTTATGAGGCAAGCAATATAAGTAGCCTCTGGAAACTCGAAATGGCAATGAGACCGTTTCTTCTGTGAAACCTCCAGAAAGAAATGCAGCCCTGGCCACACTTTGATTTTATACCACACCTTGATTTTATATGTGAGATCCATGTCAGACTTCTGACCTACAAAACCATGAGATGATACATTTATTGTTTTAAGCCCCTAATTTTCTGAAAATTTTTAAAAGCAGCAATAGAAAAGCAATATGATACCTTTATGATGTTTTGAACTAACTGTGCTTCTAAAGCCATGGATACTCTAACAAGTTCAAACACTATTTCAATAATTTGGCTTTGTAATATGTAGTTAAAAGGAGGCACATTGGTCTGCATGTTATTTTTATTTTTTAGAGAAAGACTATCTTAAATTATGTGGAAGAAAATATCACCTCTTCTATCTCACGCAGAAATGTGGCCCCACGTGCAGGTAGAGGCTTCAGTGTCTGGATTCTCAGCTGTATTGGGAACAGATACAAACTTTCTAATTCGCATGCTTAACTTTGTTGGCTGTCACACCCTGTGTTTCCATTGCTTCCTGTGGCTGTGTCAAAGCCTCTTATAGCATCCACCCATCTTTGTAGCTGCTTTTAATTCAGAGACCATATTTTGAGAAAGATTGAATCAAAAGACATTCAAGAAAAAAAAAAGTGGTATCTTGAGATTACATAGTAAGATAATCACAGGGAGGAACCTTTTTTTTTTTTCTCATTTGCTTCAATGACTTTCTTAGAATATGGAGTCAAAAATATCTGAAATAAACAAAGCTATGTGGCATGAGAAGGTCTTGGAGGACTCCAGGGAGGAAATGTACACGCATCAGAAAACAGAGAGAAACAGTGATGGAGTTGAACTTCGAGTTTGAAATCCTAGATCTCACTGTAAGTCTCTGTTACTCACTACTTGAGTAACCTTCGACTAGTCATTTGATTTTTCTCAGTCTTGGTTCCTCATCTTTAACATGGAAATATAACACTGACTTCCAGTTTCTATTTGGTGATAGTATTATTTTACACAGATTTTTGGCTGTTAACAAAAAATTAGAAGCCCTATGAAAAAGCAAGGAAAAAAGGAAAACACTTCCAAGGGATGAAGCAACAAACAGAACCAGACCTAGGTATGGCACAGATGTTGGAACTATTTGGCAGGTACTTAAAAATCATGATTATAATTTTAATGGTTCTGGTGGAAAAGGTAGACAGCATGCAAGCTCACATGAGTAGTTACAGCAGAGAGATAAGAACTATAAGA